GCAGCCTCTACTTAAGAAACCACTTTTGGATCCTACTGTTCTGGCAAATTATCGACGTATCTCTAAATTGCCTTTTATTTCAAAAATTCTTGAGAAGGTAGTCTGTAATCAGCTAATGGCTTATCTTAATGAACATTACATATTAGATGTTTTTCAGTCTCTTTTTTAAACCATTTCATAGCACATAGTCAGCTCTTTTTTAAAGTTTTTAATGATATACTTTTACCAACTGATTCAGGTGACTTTGTTGTTTTGGTGCTGTTGGATTTATCATCTGCTTTTGATACAGTTGATCATGTCATTTTACTTTCCCGTCTGGAATAGTGGGTGGGCATCGGCCACATAGCTCTAGATTGGTTTAGATCTTATTTGGCTGAACATACTTGTTGTGTCTGTTTTGATGCCCATAGGTGCCCCTCTGCTCCACTGTCGTGTGGGCTCAGTTCTAGGCCCGCTTCTTTTCTTGCTGTTCATCCTTCCTCTCAGGTCTATTTTTAGAAAACATGGGATTGCCTTTCACTACTATGCAGATGACACACAGATATATTTAACGCTAAAGAATGGAGACTTCACCTCTTTTCAATCTCTGTTTTTATGTCTCGAAGATGTGAAGGCCTGGGTGGGCCTAAATTTTTTGAAACTCAATGAAGACAAGACAGAGGTAATTACTTTGGCAGATCCACTGCTGATTCCTTGACCAGTCTTGGCTCCTTGGCCCAGTACATTAATCCTGTTATTACAAACTTAGGGGTTAAGATGGATGCTAGTCTTAAAATGGAAGCACACATCAGAGCCGTTATCAAATCCAGCTTTTTCCACTTAAGGCAGCTAACCAAAGTAAAACCCATTCTTTCCAGACAGCATTTCGAAACAGTGATCCATGCATTTTTGACCACACGGCTGGATAACTGTGACTCACTTTATACAGGGGTCAGTGATTTGTATATTTCCCAACTTCAGAGGGTTGGTGCTGCTGCACGTCTTTTAAAGGGTACATGAAAATTCAACCACATTTCCCACGTTTTAGCTTCCTGACACTGGCTGCCACTTCATTTTAGGGTTGATTTTAAAATTCTGTTACCGGTATTTGTTTTTAAAACTCTTAATGGCCTTGCCCCTCCTTATCTGTCTGAGCCTCTACATTCTTACACACCCTCCAGATCCCTCAGGTAAGCTGATCAGTTGCTTCTGAGGGTCCCAAAGACAAAAAAATACAAGCTCAGAGGGGACCATGCTTTTTCTGTGGCAGCTCCTAAACTATGGAATGATCTGCCTTTGAGCATAAGACAGGCCTCTTCTCTTGCTATTTTTAAGTCCCTTCTTAAGACTCATCTTTTTTCTTTGGGTTTTGGCACAATTTAAGAGGTTTCACTTTGTTTTATTCTGTTTGTATA